TAGAGAGGCCCAGAGCAGGCACATCCACCCAACTGCTCCAGCCCTACTCTGCCCTCAGTGAGCCTTGAACTCCATACCCTCCCCCAATCCTGAGGGGCAGTCTGCCTAGGCACCTCCCACCATCCCAGCTTCTCTGCTTCTCCATGCCCTGCCCACCCTTCAGAATCTGTCCCAAGGGCACCTTTCTTTTTCTTTTCTTTTTTTTAACAAAGAGTTTATTGTCAAGTTGGTTTCCATATAACACCCAGTGCTCATCCCCACAAGTGCCCTCCTCCATGCCCATCCCCCACTTCCCCTCCACACCCACTAGTCCTCAGTTTGTTCTCAGCATTCAAGAGTCTCTCATGGTTTGCCTTTCTCCATCTCCCCCACTATTTCCCCCCTTCTTCTCCCCCATGGTCCTCCGCTAAGTTCCTCCTAATCCTCCTATACGTGCAAACATATGGTATTTGTCCTTCTCTGCCTGACTTATTTCGCTCAGCATAACACCTTCAAGGTCCAACCATGTTGCTACACATGGCCAGATTTCATTCTTTCTCATTGCAATGTAGTATTCCATTGTATAGATAAACCACATCTTCTTAAACCATTCGTCCGTTGATGGACACTTAGACTCTTTCCATGTTTTGGCTATTGTTGAGAGTGCTGCTATGAACATTGGGGTACATGCACTCCTATATGCCCAAGGGCACCTTTCAAAGGAAGGCCTCCGGAATCCCTCCCATTCCTATCTCAGCTGTGGTGTGGGGCACCCAGGGTAGGGAGGGGTCATCGGAAGTGCTGGCCTTGCCGGCTCCGGGAACTTGGGCAGCCTCCGCCCAAGGGTGCCTCTGGCGCCACCCATCAGGTCCTCATGCTACCAGACCAGAGCTCTCCCACACCCCTGAGCTGGGCCTGCACGTGCTCGGCCTCTGAGTGTGACTGTGACTTGTCTCACCAGCTGCACAATGAGCAGGTGGTTCACCTGGCCTGATGACAGTGGGTTGGGATAGGGAGGGAAGCCTGTGTGCCTCAAGGCCTATGTGTGTGGTGGCACCTCTGGGTGCAGAGCTGGGAGTTGGGAGGAAAAAGCTGGGCCTCAGAACCCCCAGTTTAGTGTGTTCTCCTTGGCTCACAGCAGGACACTTCCAGACCTGGGACAGATGATGGGATAGGAGAGGCCCATTAGGACTTCCTACTTCCCTGCCCCCCAGCTTCCAGCGGCATCCTCTCCTCACCACCAGCAGCTCTGTGACGCTATTCCCATCTGATACATGCAGGAGGAATGTGCCCTGGATCTGGGCTCATCGGGTGAGGAGAGCAGGGCTCCCTGGGGGTGTGTGGGCTCTCCTCCTGCAGGGCCTCACCTGCTGTGTCATTCTCCTGCTGGGCCTCCTCCAGGCACTGCTTGTGCTGCACCTCAATCAGCTGCAGGTAGTAACATTCCTCCTGCTGCAGGATGGTTGCGTGGGTGCCCTGGGGAACAGAGAAAGGGAGAGGACCCGTCAGCCTCATCCACGGCCTAACTCTCATCCACAGACTCTAGGAGCATGAGAGTCAACAGGGCCTGTCACTTGACTGACCCAAGTTCTAGATGGAACCCCAAACCCAACCCCAGACTAAAACCCAACCCTGACCTGTATTGGACCCAGAACTCTTGACCGTAGTCCCCAAGGCTGGGTCTGCCTTGAGGGCCCTGTTGTAGCTTCCTGGTGGTTCCAATAGTGCCGCAGCTATAACAACTTTGTCCTTTGTGTGGGTGGCACTGCTCTGGTACCTCTCTGTAGAGCTCAGAGCTGGCCCTCTAGACTCTGCTACCCTTCAGCCTGGGTTGGGAGTCCTCAGTGCTTGCCTCAGACACTGCGGACGAGTAGGGCCCAGCTAGTGCTACCTGGTTACGAAGACTTGGTCCCTGGAGCCAGGCCTGGGAGGAACCCAGGAGTCTGGATGCATCTTCCAGCCCCTGACCTAATTCCAGGAGCCTGTGCTTGGTCTCCTGGGTCACCAGGCTGGAAAGGGACACAGGCAATCTTAACTCACACGTCACCTGCCTTCTTCTTAGCTTCTAAACAATTTAAGCTATAACAGATCTAATGAAGGAGTGGAGGTTTCAGGAAATAAGAGGGGCTCCTCTTGGGTGTCTTGCCATCCCACTAAACCTCCTCTGTCCCTGTCCCTGTCCTTGTGCCTGCTTCTGGGAGGTAGGGAGAAGAGGGATGGGAAACCCCAAGTCTCTCCCCTCCCTGTTCCTGAACCCTGGCCAGGGATCAGGGATGGAGCCAGACCCATGTACTGGCATGGGGGGTGGTGGGCATTGGCATTGGAGCCAAAGGTGAGCAGGGGATGATGGCTGCCCAGGAACAGGCAGTAAAAAATACAGGTCTTGGAACCACTGGGTGGGCAAAGGCAGGTGAAGGCCTCCGTGGAGGAACCAGTGAGCTGGTAGCTTCTGCTGGTCTTTTTGGCTGCCACCCCTGGGCAACCTTCTATCAGTTTCCTCATCTTTGCTCAGGGAGGAAGAATGCCTTAGTCCCCAACAGAGCTGTTGGGGAACGTTCAGCAAGGCAGCTCCAGAATCAGGGATTCTCAGTGTCTTGTTCCTACTGCCCCGGGACAAGGTCCTTACCTCCCTCAGTGACTTGTAGGCCAAGTGGGCCTCCACCACCTCTGTTGTTGACTCAAAGTCTTGTTGCAGTGGGACTATGGGGGCAAAGCACCTCTTTCCTTAAGCATATGCCCATCTGGCTGGTGTCAAGGGTGTGACTTTGACCACTGTTTGAAGTAAAGTGATCCCCTGGAGGGATAAGCATTCCAGGTGCCAGGGAGCTCTCCATTGCGATAGAGGAAGGGGGTCTAAGCTGAAGCTGGACAACTCAGTGACCAAGAGGCTGTGCAGCCGACTCCCTCCACTTAACACTCTCTCATCCCTTGTGGAGGCCTTCGTGGAGACTCTCTGTCACAGAGGTCCTCACCATCCAACTTTCCCACATGCAGCTAAGCACCACAGCTGGCCTAGCCCAGGTGCAAGGAAAGACATCCTTGTCCAGGATGTCTTTCAGACTCCCTGGCACCTAGACTCGCTCACCCATGTGCCATGGCCCGGAAGCCCCATTGGGTTTCATCTTGGACCGCTAACTTTATCAGCTAACTGGGGTAGCGACATTAGCTGGTTAAGTCATTGAAAACTTGGCATATGGAGAGTGCCACAGATCCATATATGGATATATGGATTTCTGTATAACTGTTTAAAAGAAAGTACATGAGAGTTGAAGGAAATGTGCCGTAGTCCCTCTTTGCGGTCCCATGCTTCCCTTCTTGCCCAAAAGCATTACTGAGACTGTAACACTCAAGATGCTCTGTCTTAAGTGATCTGTGGTGGGCTTATGCTGTTCAGGCACGGGAAGAGGGGTGGCCAAAGGTGGCCTCTGGAATAAGAACCTGGGGATTGGCTTGTGTCCCACTACTGGTCTGTCTTGCTTACCTGGAGCATGCTTCTCCCTGAAGCACCTTCCCAGACCCACTGCCCTCCAGCAACAGGGTTTGTTCTGCCTTCTGCCCATTCTCCCCTCCCATCCCCCCACCACATGAACACAGGTTGGATGGTGGTAGACGTTTCTTGTTGCTGCCTTCCCACCATCCTTTACCCTCCACTGGTGCCATGTCCTCATCTCTATCGGGGAATCCACATCCTTCCCCACTCCTAATTCTTGGGGTTCTAATGAACCCTCTTCTTTTTTTAAAAAAAAATTTAATGTTTTATTTATTTCTGAGAGAGAGAGAGAGGCAGCGTGAACAAGGGAGGGTCAGAGAAAGAGGGAGACACAGAATCTGAAGCAGGCTCCAGGCTCTGAGCTAGCTATCAGCACAGACCCCGACGTGGGGATGGAACCCACAAACCATGAGACCATGACCTGAGCCAAAGTCGGATGCTTAACTGACTGAGCCACCCAGGCGCCCCTGATGAACCCTCTTCTAAGAAATCTACATGTGATCAGGCTTAAGACCGTCAGAACATTCCTGGCCTTAGTGACTGGCACACTGCCCAAGTCAGGCTGCTCAGAGCCAGCAGGCTCATCCTTGGGACTTTGGACTGAGCAATTAGACAAGTGGATTTGTCTTTCCCACTAGACTGGAAACCTCAAAGGGTGCAGGGGCTGGAACTACTGTCACTATCTTGTTGCTTCTTGTGTTGTTGTGGAACACAATGACGAAAGCCACACAGGTAAAGGCTGAATAAGGAGATGGAGAAAAACTGGATCCTCTTGACATTGTCTAAGTCCCTGGATGCAGCCATGCCTAAAAGTAGCCCTGCTTCCTAACAACATGAGTCAGTGTCTTTCTTTATTTCTTGAATCAGTTGAGTTTTCTATCCCTGTAACTAAAAGAGTCCAGACTAGTTCTCTGAGGACAGGACAATGGATGCCTTCGTTTAATGGTTCTTCTTAAGCCAGAGCTGTGGCCATGCTGTTTACCAAGAGAGAATTCTTTTTCAAAATCGCCGAAGGTTCCTAGTAGCTTCTGACGATGAAAGCTTTGGGTCAACTTCTCTAGCCAACTCTGCCCGAGCCCCCCAGCAACATAGCCACAAAGCCTTTTCTGAGAGGCAGTTTGCAGGGGGAGGGACAGGAGGCACTAGGATAACCTAGGAGCCTGGGGTATCTCTGAATAAAGTGAGGGTAGTCTGGAAGATGAGCTCTGTCTTTACCACAGCTTAGTTGAGCACTAGACTGCATCTGCAGAAGGGTAGAGGAAAGAGAGACCCAAAGAGGGATCTCGGGTCACCTAGCAAATGCACATTCCTAGATAGGAGCCACATCTCCGGCCACGAATCTGGACTGCATCAATCCCTCTTCATGGCTTAGATTTCGGCCATCTAGTCTACCACTGCCCTTTGGAGGACAGGGCCAGGTCAGCTCCCTGTAGTCCTTATCACTGAGGAATTCAGACACACTTTGAACTTCCTCTTCCACTTATTTCCCTATGCTAAATAAACATCCTCATTATCCCTCTGGACTCCAGACACACAAAGTTGGAAAATTCCCAGCCAAATATAGCCAAGCCTACTGATTCTAGGAAAGGGTTACAGGGTGGGATATAGGTGGGGTGTGGGCTTCATAGAGAATCAGTAGTAAAGATGGGTTTTTGAAGATGTGTGACTTTTACAGTTAGCCATGGAGTAAGATCATTCCAGAAAGTAGGAGCAGCGTGTACAGAAGTATGAAGGTATGAAAATGCCTAATACATGCAAGGTTGCAAAATCCTGGGGTGACTGTAGCAGGGGTCCTGAGGCATCAGGAGACAAGTTGTGGGATACAGGCAGGGGCCAGGCCTCATCAGTACCTGCTTGGATCCGTGTACTAGGTTTCAGCCCCACCACCGGCAACCCAAGGTCCCCAAGGCCTAGCAGTCAAAGCCCACCCTTCAAAACTGGCATTCAAGTCCCTCCTTATTTCTATGACTATCTACCTTTCCCAACTTGTCTCCTGATGCCGCACGTGGAGAGGAGAAAGCAGGGCTTTCTCTAAATCCCTCGCCCATTCCTGTGCTGGGCTGAGCTCCACGTGGGCTTAAAGTCACCTGACCCTGTGGGTGGGTTGAGGTGAGAGTTTCAGGCCCTACGGAGTCCCCAGTACCTTTTCTATCACAGGAATTCCTGAGGCCAGAAGAGGAGACCTAGGCCAGAGTGAGCAAGTCTGTAGCCTGCCTTCAATCCGGGTCCTCTTATGTCACCTGCCATAGTACTGGCTGGATGTGGGGGGTGATGACTAGAAGCTGGCAGGAGAACCCTGAGTCTCTGGTTGGGGGCAGGTATTAGCCAAGTCTCATTAAGTCTGCTTGCTTACTTGGGTCCTTTCCTCTCTATCCCCACTGTGAGCGCTTTCTCCTGCATGTGGGGCTCCCTTAAATCTGGGGTAGGGTGTAGATGCTGGGAGCTGTG